CCAGGGCTACCCAGTTAATCTCCCTTTTTTGTTCTGGTAGGTTACAGCTTGTTTGCCCTTGGCATTGGCAGCTTGCTCATGGGTTACTACACCCTGGTGAAGTGGAACAGAGAGAGGAGGTAAATGTCTGTTCTGCGGCTGCGTGTCCTTCCCCGGTCCACCTGACTCGAGTGTGCAGGCTGCTGATCCCAGTAAACGGGCTTGTTCTCCCGTATTTGCATAGTATGATGATTGCTGTGTATTACAGAAGGTTGGGAGATCTTGCCGATGGCCTTATGACAGCTGAGCTGTGTAGTAGCCTAGTGTTCTAAGCACAGGCGCGTTTGACATGAAGGTACAGAAATGGTCCTTTGCTTACCCAGATAAGAAATCCACTCTTCACACCTTATCTTTGGTACCAGGCGTCTGCTCATTGAGGAGTTGGAAACCCGTATCGCTTTGATGCCCCTTCTGCAAGCAGAGTCAGACAGAAGGTAAGTGCGTTTCCCCCCTCACTCACTTCCTGAGGGTGTTCCTTTGGATTCAGAGTACCTATCTCCACATGCCACCCTATTGACTTGATTTGCTCGCCCTTTGCTTCGGGGTGGGCCTTTTGGTGACTGACAGTCATGTCCAGGGAGAGTAGGATCTTGCACTTACTGGCTCACTGTTATGGTTTCTGTACCACCTTGCAGCTCCGGCATGTCCCTGCTAGCTATTGCATAAAGACCCAGGATACCTTAGTATCCTTAATGACTGTTGCTGATGTCCTGGTATCTGTAAGGGCTGCAGGCTCTATCCCCCTACAGAGAGCAATGCCGTCTTTTTTTGTTGCACCAGAGAACCGTGTACGACTGGCACTAGAGATGTTAAATGGCATTTAATCAGCTAATGGACTAGTCGATGGAATTCCCATTGACTAGTCAATTAGTTGATAAGTGGCTCTGCCTTAATACGTTTTAAAGAGCCGCCATGGTCTTAATACATTTTAAAGGCTGAAGCGCAGCAGGGGGACTGGGTGCAAGCCAAGAATCAGCTGTCCTGGCTCACACCTGGTCCACCTGCTGTGCTTGTGCTTTTTCAACATATTCAGAGCCGATAAGCACAGTGGCTGGCAGATAGTCTACTAGTTGCTTCCATCTTTAACTGGCACTGCCTCATTCACCATGGAGGGACTGGAGTTCCAGATTTAATGAGGTGGGAAGGAAGCTTCTGCCTTATTCCCAGAGGCCTCAGAGTCAGGAGATGGAAGGGTGACAAGAAGCCAAGTCATCCCCTTAGGTTCATCTGCTAAGTGGCAAGTGTGGAGGACTGGGGTAGCCGTGAGTGAGCAGGGTGGCTGGAAATCCCAAAGTTTGTGCATAATTAAGAATGTTAAGGACTGGTCAATTTCCCCCCCCCCCCCCCCCCCCCCCCCCCCCCCCTCCTCGGCAGAAAGCAGCAGCCAGCATAACCCTTGGCCTGCGCTGCTTCCTTAGCTCCCAACTCCTCCATCCTCTGCCCATCCATGGAGGATACGACGAGGGGACTGTTGTGGCCAAAGGCAGCTCCTGCTCCGGCACTGGTCTAGTGCTTATTAAAAAGTGAACTTTTGCCAAAAGGTACCACATTGTGGTATTGCAAGCACGGCACAGCTGACCGGGGGATCAGCTGTGCAGCGGCTGCCCCCTTTAAACTGTGGAAGCGGCATTCAAAGGGGCAGTGCTGTGGAGCCCGAGGTCAGCTGGGGTCTCTTAATCTCCCACTGACCCCAGGCTCCATGAGGGTGCTGTGGCTTTGAAATGTGGGGGCTCTTGTACATTTCAAAGGAGGAATGTGGAAGTGCCTGTCGACTAGTCAAGTGGGCAATGGAAATTCCATCGACTACTCGACTGATCAGTTAACCACAATTTAACATCCTCATGCAGGATGCGAGCTCACTGATTTTGCTTATTTGTTGTAGCCATTCCCTCAGGCCTCCAATATTCTGTTTTGTCTTTTATGCTGGAAGCTCTTCAGGGCAGGGCTCAGTCTGTGTAAGGCTCCTTGCACTCTGGAGGCCGACTGAAGACCCATGCCAGCCTCGTACACTTGTGCAGGAGTTTTCAAACTATGGATCACGACCCAGCAGTGGGTCATGGAATGTCGGGCCCTGGGTCTCATTGCTGCAGGGCAGTCTGGTGACCGGAGGGGGTACTAAGGCAGCTCCCTGCCTGTCCTGGCACCGTGCCCCAGAAGCGGCCGGCAGCAGGCCCAGCTCCTAGGTGGGGGGGGGGGGACCAC